GTTTTTAATTTTAGTTAACTAAAATGTTTTTTTATCAATTTCAGTTTCCGTTATTTAGTTAGTTTTAGTTAACTACAATAACCATGTACCAAACAACTCACGATACATGTTAGATCTCACAAAATTGCATAAAACTGTTCATGCCATTTTCAAGATGACAAAAAAAAAGTATAATGCTGTCCCTTTTCAGCATGTTTATTTCAAATGATATGCATTCCTTCAATATAGGTATGCTGGGTGCAAATAAATTATTTAAAAAGGAAAACCCGTCAAGTTCTCTTAATATTCAAAAAAGTACTCATTTGGAGGATGGAAAAGGGACTTCCAAAATTTTTCATCATAACCAGTAAAAAAAAAACTTAGACCTTTCAGTTTTGTATATATTTTACTATTATCTTTTAAGTCGTTAAATTAAAAAGGGACACTTCCTGGTATTGCTTGTCCTAAATGAGGATGTTTCTCATAGAGAAGTCATGAAAGGAAGTGTTTGACAAGACAGGAAGTGTCTATTTTCTATTAGGCCCCGCCCTTTAAATCAAAAGCCCCTCACCGCCTTTTTTTATTATTGTGAGCTCTTTAGGGGAAGCCCACCTACTTTGTTCCACGTGTTTCATCCCTTCCCCCTATTAAACAGCAGCTCTAAAACAACCCCCCATTCATTCTAAGTCACTCATACATTTCAGTGAACCACTTGGTTACACAAGCGCGTGCTGAGTTCCCAGGAGCCCATCAACACGCTACTACTTTATGAGGATTTCCATGTTATAGCCGGTGACTTTCGGTTCACATCTAAGCTTAAAGGCTGAAACTTCAAACAGAACGTACCGCCTCGTTGTTCCTCGTGAGAGAGGAGTCGCTGTTTGAACGCGGAGGTGCCCTCGAGTGACTCCCAGCTGGAGTTTACCTCTTCTTTTCGCGTCAATTAACACCGCTTAAGTTGCATCACCTTGGTCKTCGAACCCCCCACATCACTGCTCCATGGTCACTGCCAGCCCGGTAACTCCTCCCCTTGCTTAAAAAAAACAGGCTGACTGGGAGGTGGAGGTGTTGCTGGTGGGGGCAGTCAAAAATGAGGTCTCTCTCTCTCTCCGACGACACACAACCTGCTTGTTGAGCATCACAGAACCGGCTTCCTGTTCTCAAACTTGCGAAACGACTCAATTAGCAGCTTGCAGGTTATCAGCTGGTGAACACGAACACGAGCCTCCAACTTGACGTCAGTTACGCGCCTGTCACGTGATTTATCAGCAGCCTCCTCTTTATCAAAGGCAGCACGTGCTCTCTGTTCCGAGGATGAATGGCATGTGTTGCTCATCATTTTGTTAGGAGCCGCAGCGACCAGTACTACAAACCCTCCTCCCCAGTGATTGACACCTCCCCTCCTCGTGCTCTTTAATGAGCTAAATGGGACCGTTTGTGGCGGCAGCGTGAATTAGAAAACAAAACAAAAAAAAATGTCCTTAAAGGCGGAGGTGATGAGCCAGTGCGATGCTCCAGACAGACAGGTGTGGTAGCCTGGTGCAGTAAAACCACAGAGTGAGGGGGAAGACGAATGGCAGCTCCGGCGCTTTTTAAACACATCAGTCATAAAAGAAAAGAGGAGAGTGGGAGGAATGACGGATGAATGGTAGAAGTTAAGGAGGATTTTTTTTTTTTTTTTTTTTTTTTGGCATGCAGATGGGACTTTACCTTGAGTCAGGAGCGATCAGGTTGGAGGGTTGGTTGCAGGGGAGGAGACAAGCTCTGCCGCGATGATGATGATGATGATGTGTGGTAGTGTGTTAGAGGAGGGGGAGAGGTAAATCTGTAATAGGCTATGTTCGTTTATTTAACTGGGGAAGTGAGATGCTGTAGCTAAATTGGCAGAAAGAGGACAAGAAAACTCCCAAACACAAATACAGCGGGTAAAATCAGTATTGAACATGTCACCATTTTTCTCAGTAAATATATTACTAGAGGTGCTAATGACATGAAATTTTCACCAGATGTCGGTAACAACCCAAGTGATCCATACGTAGCCTACATAGAAATCAAACCATAAATGTCCAGAAATGAAGTTATTTGTAATAATGTGGAATGGCACAGGGAAAAGGTATTGAACACATGAAGAAAGGGAGGTGTAAAAAGGCATGGAAAGCCAAGACAACCGGCTGAACTCTCTGAGTAATTAGAAAGCAAGCCTGCCCCTTGTCAGTGCAAATTAATATCAGCTGGTTCAGTCCCAAATGATGGCCAGGTATCACACAAAAACGATCTGATGATGGGTAAAAGTAAAGAGCTCTCTCAAGACCTTCACAACCTTATTGTTGCAAAGCATAATGATGGCATCGGTTACAGAAGAATGTCTAAACTTCTGAAGGTTCCAGTGAGCACTGTTGGGGCCATAATTCAGAAGTGGAAAGAACATTATTTCACCATAAACTGACCACGACCAGGTGCTCCTCACAAGATTTCTGACAGAGGAGTGAGAAGAATTATCAGAAGAGTTGTCCAAGAGCCAAGGACCACTTGTGGAGAGCTTCAGAAAGATCTGGAATTAGCAGGTACGTTTGTTTCAAAGAAAACAATAAGTAATGCACTGAACCACCATGGCCTGTATGCACGCTCACCACACAAGACTCCACTGCTGAAGAAACAGCATGTTGAAGCTCCTTTAAAGTTTGCTGCACAACATTTAGACAAGCCTGTGAAACACTGGAAGAATATAGTCTGGTCAGATGAGACCAACATTGAACTGTTTGGATGCCAGAATACACATCATGTTTGGAGGTCAAATGGCACTGCACATCAGCCCAAAAACACCATACCAACAGTGAAGTTTGGAGGTGGGAACATCATGGTGTGGGGCTGTTTTTCAGCATATGGTACTGGCAAACTTCAAATAATTGAAGGAAGGATGAGTGGAAAAATGTACAGAGACATTCTTTATAAAAATCTGCTTCCATCTACCAGGATGATGAAGATGAAACGTGGCTGGACATTTCAGCAAGACAATGAGTCCAAACACAAAGTCAAGGAAACTCTCTGTTGGTTTCAGAGAAAGAAACTAAAGCTGCTGGAATGGCCCAGCCAATCACCTGACCTGAATCCAACAGAAAATCTATGGAAAGAACTAAAGATCAGAGTTCATAGAAGAGGTCCACGAAACCTTCAAGATTTGAAGACTGTTTGTGGAAGAATGGGCCAAAATCACACCTGAGCAATGCATGCCACTAGTTTCTCCATACAGGAGGCGTCTTGAAGCTGTCATTGACAACAAAGGCTTTTGTACAAAGTATTAGATAAATTTCAGTAAGTGTGTTCAATACTTTTTCCCTGTGCCATTCCACATTATTACAAATAACTTCATTTCTGGACATTTATGGTTTGATTTCTTTGTATGTATGGATCACTTGGGTTGTTACCGACATCTGGTGAAAATGTCATGTCATTAGCACCCCTAGTAATATATTTACTGAGAAAAATGGTGACATGTTCAATACTTATTTTACCTGCTGTATATATAGATTTTTTTAATTCATTCATTAACCCCCCCCCCAATAAATAAATAAATACAATAAAGAACACAAACCATAAATGAAATGAAAGGAAGCAGAAAAAATCATATTAAATCTGCCCCCTTTTTTCCCCCAAAAAAATAAATTCAAACGTTTGTACTATATAAAAATGATGTTGCATGGAGCGTGCCACAGGCTGTCGCGTTCAAACAGCACATAAACAACAGTGTTATACACAAAAAGATAATCGTAAAATATAACACTGAATGCACCATTACATAAAAATGAACCGAAAAATAAAAAAAATTAATAAAACCRTAAAACTGGACATGAAATAAAAAGAATAAACAATGCACATGCTGTGCTTAATTAATAGCCAGTAAGTCCAAATGTGTTTTTAAATAATATGTCATCAGGAAGWGAGAACTTTTCATGTGTTTGTAACGAGCTCAACAGGAGGACACAGTGAACCAGGCATAAAATAATACAGCAATTTTCTTCAGTGTTGGAGTTGAATGAGTTCCTGTTCCAAATGATGGAGTGTGTSTGGGAGAGAGATAAAATTAATTACCAAGATACTTGACACAAGGAATGATGAACAAGCAGCAGATCTGGTTGAGCTCTGTTTTACCTGCAGCAACAAGTCCAAAAACAGACAAGGTACAAGAGCAGCATGAAGTGACTTTCTGTACAGCYGTCAGGCTTTTAAAGGGTCTGAAGCTGAGTGTCCTCCTGTTTTACAAGCGTGCAACCTCCTGTTCTCTCCAGGCTTTATCCAGTTYCTTTATTTAGGCCTTCCTGCCTGATAGTGGCCGTAAAACTAACTGAAACCTATAATAAGTGAAAAGCTGAAGTTTAAAAATCAACAGATGTGTCTTCACTCCAGTGTTGTATAAAGTACCCCAAAGTGATACTTGAGTAAAAGTACAAGTATCATAACGATACTTTGGTAAAAGTTAAAGTCGTCTCTAAAAATATTACTTGAGTTAAAGTCTTAAAGTATCTGATATTTTTTGTACTTAAGTATCAAAAGTAAATTTCTGACACAAAATCTACTTATGTATTAAAAGTACTGAGTAAGAGCAGTTAGATTTTCCAAACTGAAATTTATTGGGAGGTGACTTCTCCAAAAAATATATTTTCTAACGGCGTGCAGCTGTGACGAGTTGTGTACAAGCTAATAGAGTGTCAGAAGGTTTATATTTATACTTCTCATCAAACCATAATTAAATTCACACTATCTAGGAGACACAATTTATCAGGATAGTATTTATTAAGTAATAACAACTCGGAGTAAAATAGGATTAACAACTTTCTACTTCTTGCCTTTTTAAAAAAATGTAGTGAGTAGAAAGTACAGGTAATTGTGTAAAAAATGTAATAAGTAAAAGTAAAAAGTAGGCTGAAAAATAATACTCAAGTAAAGTACAGATACCCAAAATTTCTACTTAAGCACAGTAACAAAGTATTTGTACTTAGTTACTTTACAACTCTGMTTCACTCTTAAACATTACTGAGAAAGCAATTGCAAGTCATGCAAAAACAAACACAGATCAACACCATCAATATCGCTTGTAATTAAATGAACATTAATATTTTAAATCACAATTTAACCAACAGAGAGAATTGRCCAGARGTGGTGACATCATTGRATAAGAAACATTAACTYAGCATGATAGAGCATTTGGGACAGCGGGACATTGCTGGCTACTAATAGGAGATGGTTTGAGACTAATGGCTGAAGTCTCAGAACTTCTATCATAAAGTTATCACACGGGGGCAGTATTAGACCAACAACAAAATTTTCCAAATGTATTCTAATGAAGCTGAAATAAAGTTCATATGTCCTAAATAGTAGAAAGACCAAAAGGCTAAGCAATGCTCTTTACAATAAGAAGTTTGAATATAGTTGTAATAGCATCAAGCAAGTCGGAGTAGTTAGGTGGCAAACAATTGCACAGGGGCACCGAACAAAATCTCAATACTGTGCATTTCCAATGCACAAGAACATGCAGAAAAACAATGTCAGGTTCTTCCCTAACAATTCACATCAACACATACTGTACTGTATGAAAATCAATATATTGCAAAAACAGTGTACAATATAAATTGTACAGAACAACAGAAATTTGATACAAATCAATGTTAAATAAAAACATAAATTAAATGAAATAAAAGCACGGCGGCTCTGTTGGAAGCTTTGATGCCTCTCAGCAAGAAGGTCACCGGTTCAAATCTCAGTCCGGGGACCTTTCTGGGTAGAGTTTGCATGTTCTSTCCGTGCATGCGTGGGTTCTCTCCGGGCACTCCGGCTTCCTCCCACAGACCAAAAACATGACTGTTAGGTTAACTGATAACTCTAAATTGTCCCTAGGTGTGAGTGAGAGAGTGAATGGTTGTTTGTCTCATTTGTCTCTATGTGTGTCCCTGTGATGGACTTGTGACCTGTCCAGGGTGTACCCCGCCCCTCGCACTGTGACTGCTGGATATGGGCACCAGTGACC